GTGTGTGTGTGTGTGTGTGTGTGTGTGTGTTGCCGTCGGTCACCATTGATTTACTCCTCATGTCATTGGTATGAATGATGGAGGAGCTGCTGGGGGGGGGGGAGGTTGAACACACGTCTTGTTTCTTTTCCTGGTATAGAATGAAAAATATCATGTCTGATAAAGGGCGGCACGGTGGTGCAGCGGGTGGATTAGGTAAAGTGAAGACTCTCCATTGACTTGAACGGTGGTTTGGTTGTTAAGTCTTAAGCCCCTCCTCCTCCTCCATGTTAGCAGATGGGCCAAACTAAAGGTCAGAGTTCAAACTAAATAAATGTTTGTAAACACGTTTCTGATCAGTTTGGTTTGAGTCCGTTGATGATGATATAAAAACAGGCTGAGTCATGATTGACAGCTGACGCTGACTCAGGATTGGTGACTGAACCCTCCTCCTCAAACTCCGCCTCAAACTGATGTGACTGACGTCTCTTGAACATGGCAGGACGTTGAGACATGAATCCACCGGTGATCAGCAGACCAGAAGTCTCTCTGCGGTCGTTAACTTGATCCAAGTAAAGTTTTTATTCAACTTTTTAATTGAGTACATTTTCATTCTTCCTCTCCAGGTTTAATTTGTCCCTTGAGGGCCGTTATCCGCCCGGTGCAGTCTGACAGGTGATTCATGACGCGTATCCTCCGGCGTTGAAAAGCTTTTCGCACCTCGTGCTCTGAGACCAAACCCGTCTCGTTGAGCGCAGCGGCTCAAAGCATCGAACTGTGTAACATCAAGTCATCGGTCAGCAGCCAGATTTAAAATAGAGCAGAGGTTTCACTGCAGCGTGCAATCTGCTAACGACAGCTGCAGGTCCGTTCAGGGACGAGCTCGCGAACAGAAAATAATCCCTCATCACAACAATGTTAGCAAAGGTCGCGACCTGGATGTTTGAGTCATCTGTTCTATCACTGATGCTGAGTCATGCTTCAGATCTGCTCTCACTCTCTGAGGTCAGATTCAAATTTGATTTAAAGATAAAAGAGTCATTTGTCTCCTGGTTTGACCTTTTGTTTCCAGTCGGAGGACAGAGAGACGACGGGAGGACAGAGAGACGACGGAGGACGATTCAGATCTCACCCTAAGTGGGGGCGGGACCAGCTGCTGGTCGACCACAGGATGTGAAGATTAAAAATTAAAATAAAAGCATAAAGAGAAAAAGAGGTGGAATCGAACTTTTGCCTCGTTTGAAATTTGATTGCTGTAGTTTGTTATCGACTTGTTTTCTCATTTATATTTGCAGCTTTAACATGGTCACATAAATAAATGAAATATTAAAGAATGAAGACAATAACTGTATCTGACAGCTGATAACAAAGACTTTAAAAAACATTTTGAAAATGGATCATTAAACAAACAGGGAATGGAATCATTAAAGTCCAGATGTGATGGTGTGAACTATTTTATCCGTATCATCAAAACAGAAAATGTCTGAGTCTGGAATTTATTTCTAATTATGCTGATAACTCAATTTATATATTTACTTTTAACACATGAACTAATGTCAGCAGAGCTTTCAAATTCAATTTAGCTGCACCAGATTTCACACGATCACAAACATCCTGATTATTTTTCATCGACATTCATAAATTATTTATGGAAAAATGGTGAAATCTCAGAATGTTAAAGGAAATTATAGTTTCATTTAAAAAGCAGCTTTCAAAGTGAAAACATGAGGAACAAATAAACCTGTCTTCAATAAGAAATGATAAAGATGTATATTTATAAAGATAATAAAATCATGTCTCCACATCAGATGTAGGCGAGCTCCTCTGTCAGTGTGTGTGTCAGTGTGTGTGTGTGTGTGTGTCGGAACAAACCCACACACTAATCTAATGATGTTGCAGAAATGAAGTTAACGTTGAGCCGCACCCATGAACCCAGCAGACACAGGAGGAGGAAACACAAGCCTCCATCCGACCAACACATTTCAGCACAACGTCCCGTCTTCACTGAGAGGGGACAGTGTTTGAATCTGAGTCACAGTGAAGACACTTCGGATAAGAGACATGGCGGCCTCCGTCTCTCGGGGACAGGAAGTGTGAGTGTGACTGTTTGACAAAAAATGTCAGGGCCGTCCAGCTGGAGCGTCTGACTGAGCCGCACCAGAGCCTGTGTGGTTATTATTAGCGACCTGTTGAGCCAGGAGTGTGTGTCTGTCCGAGACATGAGCTCCACCAGCTGCCCCCGCCAGCTGACGACCCGTGGTCACTGCAGCCTGTCCAGGGCAGCTCGGGCGTGGCAGTCAACCCCCCCCCCCCCCTCCATTATCACCACAACACATGGTTCTATTTATATTTACTGAAGATGGTCGTTCACTTTGAGAGCAGGACTTTTTGATTTCACACCGTTCACACTCAAAACGTCTCTGCTGGTGTTCGAACTACGAGGGCGGGGCCATTTCGTTTGTCATCGCTACGTCCGACATTCTATTGGTCTGAGAGCAGACGGGGCATCGAGAAGCAGCTCGAGCACAAGAGCGAGCGCAAGCAGCAAAATATCTGAGTGCAAGCAGACAGACTCCATCCCTGTCGTCTGTTTGCAGCTAAAGAGTAAAACTACTTTCACAGCCTCTGAGGTTTGTCTCAGTGATTCAAATCCACACTTTGTACAGTGTGAATATAAATATATATATATTTCTTATATATTGATTTCTTTGTACTAAAAAGTATTTGAGTTAATACACTTGGTTACTCTCCAGCTCTGCTCTCATGTGTTCACTCTCTGTTCTTGATTTGAACAGAATCAAGCTGATTCTATAAAAGCACAGTTACATGAAACAAAGTGGGGGGTGGGAGGGTGGGGGGTGGGGGGGTGTTATTGTGATTAACGATCAAGTTTCCCTGTGATCATAAAATAATTATTCTTAGTTCACCTGAGCGCAGAGCCGTGTGTTCACATCATCACTTAACAAACCTCCTTTGATTCCGACGAGATGAAGGAATAACTGAACGAGTCGTGTTGATGAAACACAACAAACTGTTTTCATGAGATTTATCTGCAGATTTATTTTTAGAGAATCATCCAGAACAATATTCATTCTTCAAACTCGTGCTGTACTCTAAGTATTGTGTACCACAGGTTGCGTTCTCTCTACTTCACTGTTTTCACTGAAGTGTCCGTGAGCAAA